ACCACATTGATAGAATAAAGGACAAAAATCACATCATCACCTCAACATACACAGAAAAGGCCTCACAGAAGTGAATACCTTTTCGTGTTTTTCATTATAAAAATGCTGAACAAATTAGGACTAGAAAGAAGACTTCCTTAGCCTGATAAGGGAACCTGTGAAAAATCCATATTTGATGGTGAATAACTGAATACTTTTCCCTTAAGATCAGAAATAAGACAAGATATCTGCTTTCACATCTTCTATATAACATTGCCCTGGAGATACTGGTAAGAGTAAACAGGCAAGGAAAAGAAAGAAAAGACATCCAAATCAGAAAAGAAGAAACCATTTTGTTTATAGATAGCATATTGTGTATAAAATTTCCTAAGGAATCTACAAAAAAATCTGCTGGAGATAATAAATGAGCTCATTTAGAGTTGTAAGGCTCCAAATCAGTATGCAAAATCAGTTGTATTTCTATACACTAAAAATGAAAAACCTGAAAACAAAATTAAGTTGGTGCTCCAATTACACGAGCACCAACAAATATAAAATTCTTATTAGTAAATTTAACAAAAGAATTGCAAGGCTTGTTCACCAAAGCTGCAAAATATTGTTGAAAAAATTTAGGGAATACCGCAGTTAATGGAAAAATATTCTGTGTTCATGCATTGAAAGGGTTAATGTAGTTAGCTGGCAATAATGGATCTTACAGATTCAGCATAGTCCTGTCAAAACCCCAGCTATTGACAAGGCTGATCCCAAAGTTGATATGTAAAGGAATCTAGAAATGCATATGAAGGGCAAAAGTTGGAGGATTCACATTTCTCTGTTTGAATTAGGCACTGGTTTCTTAGGTATGACACCTAACACATAAGCAACCAAATACAAAATGGGATAAATTAGACTTCACCCAAATAGAAAACTTTTGTGCCTCAAAGGACACTATTAAGAACTGACAACTCGTAGAATGATAGAAAATATTTATAAAACATGTATCTGTTAAGGAACTGGTATCTAGAATGTAAGCATTTCTTGCAGTTCAATAGTAAAAAAACTAATAACCAGATTTTAAAAAGGGCAAAGGATCTGAAAAGACATTTCTCTAAAGAAGATAAGCAAATAATCAATAAAACACATGAAAAGATAATCAATAAAACACATGAAAAGATGCTCAATATAATATGTCATCAGGGAAATGCTTATTGAAACCACAGTCAGATACCACTTCACTTCACAGCTGTAATTGAGTAGACAGGAAATAATGTTAGGGATGTGGAGAAATTGGAAGCCTTATATGCTGCTGGTGAAATGTAAAATAATGTAGCCACTTTGTATAACACCCTGCTAGTTACATTTTAGCTAGTCATGCCTCTCTTAGGTAGATGCCTAAAAGAATTGAAAACAGGTGTTCAAACAAAACTTGTACCTGATGTTCTTAGCAACATACTAGTAGTAGCCAAGAGATATTGATAGAAACAGCTCAAATATTCATCAGCAATTGAATAGATAAAGTCCTGTATCCATACAATGGAGTACTCTTCTGTCATGTAAATGAATGAGGTACTAGTACATGCTGCAACGTGGATGAAGCTTGAAAACATTTTGATAAGTGAAAGAGTAAGGCACAAAAGGTCACATACTGTATAATTCCATTTATATCAGTTTTCTCGAATAGGCAAATCTGTATATAGAATATAGATTAGTGTTTGCCTAGGACTGTAATGGGAAAACTGGGAGATGAGAAGGGAAGTGATAGTTTAAAAATATAGGGTTTCTCTTTGATATGATGAAGGTATTCTAAAATTTATTGTGATGGTTAAACAGCTTTGAGAATTTTACTAAAAACCTCTGAATTGTACACTTTAGATAAGTGAATTGTGTGCTATGTGAATTGTATTTCTATGAAGCTATTATATACAAACACACACAGAATGAATGTCTATAGTGGCTTTATTTATAATAACCCCCAAGTGGAAACATCCAAATATCATCAGTGAAAGAAACAATAACCAAGTTATGATATATTCCTACCTTGTCACATTATTTAGCAATTAAAATACTAAACTACTGATAGGATGAATGAGTCACAAAAATATTTATCAGAAAGCCAGACATGAAAGAATATGTACTGTATGGTTTCATTTAGTGTAAGAACAGGTTCAGTAATACCTGGATCATTACTTGGTTGACTCTGGGAGGGGTAGGGATGGTATTTAGCAGAAGGGAATACAAGAACTAGTTGAGCTGATGAAAATGTTCTATATCTTGATTGAGGATTACATGATATAGCTATCTGTTTAAGCTTATCAAACTGTATACTTGAGATTAGTGAATTTTACCATATGTGAAATTTGTCTTTAAAAAATGGCCATTAAAAATATACCTTGAAAAAAGGTGTGAGAATTGGCATTATAGAAACTGTTACAGGATCAGAGATATGGTTTCAGATTTGAATGCTACAAGGAATCTGGAATTAAGCCCCTGTTATGTGGTATAAGGAGCTTCAAAGAGCTTGAACTTTTCTGTCACTGAAAAGATAATTGAAAAATTCTATTTATTGGTCCTGCCTAGGAGGAACAAAACTAATCTTAGCAATATGTGTAAGGCCTTGGATAAAGTTTGAAAACAAAGGTTGACTAAAAAAATCAGTGTTCTGTATCTTCAGCATGCATGGGTTACGGCTGTTAACCATGCATGGGAATTTATGTAGTTTGATACATAATCTCAGACTGAGAAATTATCCAGACTAGAAACCAGCACAAGCAAACACTACATAAGCCTTTTAAGAGCTTGAGACTCCACTGCACATGAACTTATAAAACCGTCCTAGGAAACCAAACTGTCTTGACAGGGAGCTGATGAACACAGCAAAGAGAGGCATATCACTTTAAGGTTTGGAAGTAGTATTAGAGTCTGTAAAGCAGTCTTTAAAAATTGGTAAAGAGTTAAAAGAAGGCATAGAAAGCAAAATGAAAGAATTTTCATTCATACCTGAATTGTAGGTATGCTGGTAAGACACAAAAGGATCACAGATAGAAAATTACCTGTTATCCAGTTGAAATTGTGCCTAGTCGGGCTTCCTTGGTGGTTCAGATGGTAAAGAATCCACCTGCAATGCGAGAGACCTGGGTTCGATCCCTGGTTTAGGAAGATCCCCTGGAGGGGAGGGCATGGCAACCCACTCCAGTGTTCTTGCCTGAAGAATCCCAGTGGACAGAGGAGCCTGGTGGGCTACAGTCCGTGGGGTTGCAAAGAGTTGGACACGACTGAGAGACTAGTATGAGTACAATGACTGTATTAATTTTGAGTGAGTTTTAACTTAAGATTACATAATAATTTAGTATATTTAATATTCTGAAATTTTATACAAAATACTTTAATACCATAATTTTCTTAAATTATTTCTTGACTGCTGTATATCATTAGTTATTGAAGGGCCTGAAAATCTGGTGATAACTTTAGAAAAGTGCGATTTGGATAGAGTATGAGTTGAACTCGCCAGGTGTTTTTTCCCTCTAATGGTCCCCCTTCACTGATAACCTCCCAACTCTACCCCACCATGTTACTAGCCAAATGTAGGCTCATCTGAATCTAAGCATTCCTTCTCCAAGCACCCAGTCAAGGTGGGAGATTATTGAGAATAGAATATTTTTATTGAGGTATCTTTTGACTAAGAAATGGTGGTAACTTGGTCAAAAAGAAAACTTGTCTCTTTTGAAACATTGAACACTTGCAACTATGGACTCTCCATACTAGATAAATGAGATAATGTTTTATTAGCTTATTTTTAAATTAACTAGTATGAATTCTTAAAATATTGTACAAAAACCTGATTATGTCTATATCAGATATACAAATATGTATACCTGTGTCTGTCTATTATAATCTATTGTTATGGCATCATAAATTTCTGTCTCCTTAGCTGAAAAGTTGATGCCTATTCTCTGGGTGTTGGTATCAAGTTTAAAGAATTATAGTTTGATTAAACCATGCTTTGCAAACCTCTTCGAATTACTCTGCGTCTGTTTAACTTTTAAAATGATTCTTCCTCGAGAACTATTCATAGATAGTATCTTATTCCTAATTATACAGTACGTGCATACTAGTGGAACTTTAGTACATAATTATGTGTTGCTTAATTTGCCTCCATCTGTTTTTAAACTATTCACTTTTGTGTTTTAAAGGCAAAGTTACTTACATTTGAACTTAATGTCCTAACTCTAGAGATGTTCTCCGTATAAATGAGTCTCAACACCTTCCAAGCCTGGAAAACCCGAATTCTCTTTAAATCCATTTATTCCTAATATTTATGGTACAATCTTCCTTCTCTCTTTACTGCTCGAGTGACCCACTGTTTCAGTAACACTAATCTGGGGCTTTGGTTCTTGCTTGAATGTGCTCTCTTCCCTTTCTTCCCAATAGTTAATTTTGACAGATTCTCCAGCTTTGTTTTCAGATTTATAAATACAGAAGTGCTGCTGGGTTTTCCTGTTCTGTGGTGCTTTTCTTTCTACTTTTTCAACATTGACACACTTGGATTTCCTACAAGTGTGGTTAATTGCAAGATTTGTGAAAGTTTAACTTTTGGTAAATTGTTTTGGGTTTGTTTCTCTTTGGGATTCCATCAATGTTTCTTACATTGTTGCCAACTATATTCTAATTATATTTCAGACCTGATAAAAATGAGTCCATTAAAAAAATGGCACCATACAAATTGTTTTTGTAATTTCCCTAGTATTTTAAATTAGAGATTTTTAATATGGTGTTAACACAGCAACATGTTGAATACTGAAAAAGAATACTTTGAATACCTAAACAGGACCTTTATTTTTGTGTGTGTGTGTAATTTCTTCAAATTAATTGGAAAAATTATTCACATTTAACCACAATTACTTGATACATTTTTATGTACTCTTAAAATAGTTGGCAGCATTGTCCTTGATTCTCTGTTGGTGTGGGCTTATATAATGCCTTTTTCTTTTTTCCATTTTTTTGTTTTTCTTTTGCTTCCTAAGGACATGATGATACAGCGCCATGTGCAGTTTTGAAAAGTATGGATAGTATTAGCTTTCTTCAACACCCAGTCCACCAGAGGAGCTTAGAGATTCTGCAGAGGTGCAAGGAAGAGAAGTACAGTAAGGCTGCAAATCCTGTTTAATAAACTGTGTTATCACATCCATTTGGAAATGGAAACCAGGAGCATTCTACACCTGGGTGGAACCTAAATGGAATAGATAATGTGACCTCTATCATCTTTTGACCAGAGAGTCTCAGGATACCACCATTGAGACTTTCGTTCTTTTTCTTGATACAAAGAAAGAATTGATATATATATAAAGATAATATACATATTCTTTTAATTTGGGTGGCTATTTATCTATGATCCTTGAGTTGTTTGGTTACAAACTTTTAATTGATTTCCATTTTTGTCTTTAAAGTATCCAAGTGATGAGTAAAAATGAGTATTGATTTTTTTTTTAACATTATTGAAATCTAGTTGAGGTAGAATAAACTGCAGGCCAAAGCGTACAGTTTTGACATATATGTGAACTCATCACAATCAAGATAATTAACATATCTAGCAGTGCCAATAATTTCTTCTATCTCTTTTGAATTCCTGCTGATTTTTATGCTTATTTATACTTGAACTTCAACATCAGCAGTGTATCATTGGCAAATGATATCATTTGCTTTCATGTATCATTGGCAAATCCACTTAGTTTGACTATAATTCTCCTATCAGACTTTGCCATGTCTGGTTTGGAACAAAACCACCAGTTAATGTTTTGGCTTAAGGAAGAATGATAGAATCATAATGGGTGTTCTTTTTTTTTTTAATATAAAATTGGTGTGATGCCCTTGGTCTCCATTTTCTCCTTTTCTATATTTGTTCTACTCGTTCTGCATGAAAATGGATTCTTTTGGTTGTGGAATTACTGTTGTTCGGCTGTTGCTATTGCTGTAGTGAGAATAAAGGGATCCTTAAGAATACTTAAGAATACTAATTCAGCAGTTTGCATATAATATGCGGAAAATATAATGGACCTAAATTAGTTAGTCTTGTATTTTGAGCTTTTTACTGACCACAGATTTACTTTGCTAACTTCACAATTCTGTGACTGAAAGTCCATGGAATATTAGTGTTTAATTTTCAGTAAAAGGAGAGTATAAGTAGATTTCCTAAAGGCAAATGTTGTGGATTCTCCCTTCAGTTCTTCTTACTATGCTGTTTTGGTATAAGAAAATGTGTAATACATTTTGAAAAATATTATTAAAATATTTTCTCATTCTAGAAAAGCAAAGGTAAGTATTTACTTTAAAAAAATACATCTTTAAATGTTACTCTTAATTATTGCTCTTGTTTCTAAAAGGTATACAAGTCTTTATTCCAAATACACATCTTCCTTTTCTAAATCTTTTAATCCAGGGGATATTATTGAAAACAGTGTACAAATCATTTGAGGGGGCGCTTAAATGAGTTCTTTTTAACTTTTAAATAGTTCCAAGTAGTTTATTTGCTTTGTCAGTTTTCATGACTCACAGGCCTGATTGTTTCCAGGTAGGTGTGTATGGGTGTAAAATAGGAAGGCACCAATTTCATCATGAGCTACAGGAGGATATTGTACATTGAACTCTTGCAAATTTATTTCTACATTTGTGGAAGTGGACTTTTCCATTACTTTAGGTAGTTTATGCTATTTTCCATTATAGTACTACCAATAATTACAATTTTATAATATATAAAATTAGAAATTCAAGTTTGGGAGATTGTTTTTAAAAAGTTAGGGGACTAACTAGTGTTAGATAATAGTAATGGTGAATTGATGAGGTAAATGAACCCTGCCACAGGTAGCAATGGCAAAACCTGGAAAAAATTTTAAGGTAACAATTTATTAAAAACGCTGGAAAAGAGACCAAAAATACTAACAGACCAAAAAGAAGCAGAAACTAGTGGGAAGTTTATTCTTTAAAGTAAAGTAGTGGGTAGAAAGAAAGAAAGTGAAGTCGCTCAGTCATGTCCCACTCTTTGCGACCCCATGACTGTAGCCTACCAGGCTCCTCCGTCAATGGGATTTTCCAGGCAAGAGTACTGGAGTGGGGTGCCATTTTCTTTTCCAGGAGATCTTCCTGACCCAGAGATTGAACCCCGGTCTCTCGCATTGTAGGCAGATGCTTTACCATCTGAGCCACCAGGGAAGTCCATGTGTAAGTAGTGGGTAAGAATTGAAAATTTGTGGCTTTTTACACAAGGTGCTCCCCAACTTCCATAGCTCCAGGAACAGAAAACCACAACTATACTGGTTTGAAGTGTCAGAGGACTAAGTTGAGGACTGGCAAAGAAGCTTGAAGTTTAGGAGGAAAATCCTGGAATGGAGAGAGCTGCCAAAGGCTAACACCCAAACTTAGAGCCATCCATACCTGGCTGACTCTCCTGAGTATTTGGGGGAGACTGTAGGAGCTCTGTCGAAGGGTAGTATAAGCCACTTCACTGACAGCCCAGTGGTTAAGACTCTGCTCTCAATGCAGAGGATACGAGTTCAATCCCTGGTCAGGAATTAAAATCCTGCATGCCACACAATATGGCCAAAAAGATAAAAAATAAGTAAATAGAATTGCAAACCAAATAGGAGATAATTTTTGAAAAACACAAGTGCAGTTTACTGATTTTTTTAAACTGAGGGCCTTTTGTTATCTCTTCATAGCTCCTCTTAGGGGAGAGCTGAATTCTTACTATCTTTAGTTAGGATCCCAGAAGTAGAAGTGGGAGAGAAAGAGGCAAAAAACTAGAGTGGCTGAAATGGTAGATGAAAACTTCTCATGTTTGAGAAAAACTAACTTGGAGATTCCAGATCATCAGTGACCTCCAGCTAGAACCAGTACAAAAGAAACCCGCTACTAGACACATTGTAGGCAAATTGCTAAATGCCAGAAATATAAAAGAAATCTTGAAAGCAGCCCAGAGGAAATTGCATTAAATACAGGAGAATGCAGGCATACCTCTGAGCAGTTTCAGAGCTGAATCTAGATCACTGTAATAAAGCAAATATCACAATGAAGGGAGTCACATGAATTTTTTGGTTTCCCAGTACAGATAAAAGTTATATTTATGCTATACTGTAATCTACCAATTGTTCAATAGTTTTATGTTGGAAAAAAATGATATACCTTAATTAAAAATACTTTGTTGCTAAAAAATGGTAACTGTAATCCAAGCCTTCAGGGAGCAGTAGTTACATCAAAGATCACTGATCACAGATCACTGTAACAAATATTATAATAATGGAAAACTTTGAAATACTGCAAACATTATCAAAATGTAACACAGAGATACTATGTGAGCAAATGCTGTTGGAAAAAAGGTGCTGATAGACATGCTCAACACAAGGTTGCCACAAATCTTCTTGTAAAAAATGCAGTATCTCCAAAGCATGATAAAGTGAAGTGCAATAAAGTGAGTCTTGCTTATAATGATATGATTAACACCTGTCTTCTCATTGAAAGTAATGGAGGCTGAAATTTAAAATCCAATAGAACAACACAAGACCCAGAAAATAAAAACAGCTATAAAAGCTATGATTTATAGTTTGTGGACAGACAAGTTAATTGTCTATTAGAAGAAAAATCAAGTCTGCAGAAAAATATAACGGAATTCATTGTTATTACAATGCATCATCCACAATGTCCAGTCATCAATTAAAGAAAGTATCTTTCAAAAGTGAAGCTGAAATAGAGACTTCCCTGATGGTGATCCAGTGGCTAAGACTCTGCCCTCCCAATGCAAGGGGCTCGGTTTGATCCCTCGTCAAGGAACTCGATCCCACATGCCACAACTACGAGTTTGTATGCCACAACTGAAAGATCCTACATACTGCAATGAAGATTGAAGTTCAAAGATCTTGTGTACTGCAACTAAGACCTGCAGCAGCCAAATAAAAATATTTTAAAAAATAGTTTAAAAAAGAAGCTGTGATAAAGACATTTAGATAAATAGATAATCTGATAATCTGAGGGAATTTATCACCATAATATGTGTTCCAAGAGGAGAAATAATGGTAATTCTTTAGGTTAAAAGGAAATGACATCAGATAGTAACTTCGATGTAGAGTAGAGGTTGGTAAATGTTTTCTGCGAAGAGTCAGATGGTAAATATTTTAGGCTTTGTGTGTCATATGTTGTGTTGAAACAACTCTGTTCTGAAAGGAGTTATAGACAATACATAAATAAATGAGCATGGCTACATTCCAATAAAATTTTATTATAGACATTGATATTTAAATTCCATATAATTTCCACATGTCACAAAAATACTCTTATTGATTTTTTTCCCCTCAGTCATTTAAAAGTTAAAATCTCTTTTAGCTTACAGGCCATGTAAAAATAGGCAGTGGGGACAAGTTCTTAGAGAAGTATAACTTTCCAAAACTGAACCAGGAAGAAATAGAAGATCTTAACAAAACCATCACAAGCAAGGAAATCGAAACTGTAATCAGAAATCTTCCAGCAAACAAAAGCCCAGGACCAGATGGCTTCACAGCTGAATTCTACCAAAAATTTAGAGAAGATCTAACACCTATCTTACTCAAACTCTTCCAGAAAATTGCAGAAGAAGGTAAACTTCCAAACTCATTCTATGAGGCCACCATCACCCTAATTCCAAAACCAAAGATGCCACAAAAAAAGAAAACTACAGGCCAATATCACTGATGAACATAGATGCAAAAATCCTCAACAAAATTCTAGCAAACAGAATCCAACAACATATTAAAAAAATCATACATCATGACCAAGTGGGCTTTATCCCAGGAATGCAAGGATTCTTTAATATCCGCAAATCAATCAATGTAATACACCACATTAACAAATTGAAAGATAAAAACCATATGATTATCTCAATAGATGCAGAAAAAGCCTTTGACAAAATTCAACATCCATTTATGATTAAAACTCTCCAGAAAGCAGGAATAGAAGGAACATACCTCAACATAATAAAAGCTATATATGACAAACCCACAGCAAGCATCACCCTCAATGGTGAAAAATTGAAAGCATTTCCCCTGAAATCAGGAACAAGACAAGGGTGCCCACTCTCACCACTACTATTCAACATAGTTTTGGAAGTTTTGGCCACAGCAAT